AGTAAGTAAGTAAGTAAGTAAGTAAGCACCAGGTGGACGTTAAGTGGTTAGCTTCACGCAACCCAGAAAATGGGGGTGGCTATGCTGGGAGCCACCAATCATCATGCCTATGGCCTGTCACTTTACTCCAACTGAGCTCTCCCAGCACATATTAATCTTTCATATTTATGTAATATTGCATGACCCATGCAACTTCAAAACTTTGCTGCCATGCTGTCCACCACATTAACACTACCAACTGTAGACGTAATTTATAGAAAAGAACATAAAACCTAACCTTGTGTGATTGTGGAATGGAAATTCTAAGGTTAGCAGTTCTAATGTGGTGAACAGCATGGGGTTACATTTTAAAATTCCTTGGGTCACCCACTGATATGAAAGTAACAGTATTTTGATATGCTTCAAATGTTTATGTGGTGACTAATTAGACTAATTAGCAAGACACTTGCTACTTGCATAATTGTGCAGTTTACAAACATCTATAGAATTTCTCTGAATTCCCATGATTAATTTGGTACATCACTGTTGTTAGATTTGCTGGTTACTAACTTCTAGCTTTTGCAGCTTATCTAGCAATGTTTATTTTATATTGCGAAGGTAACTTTGACATTTGGATAACAGAAGTAACATTAAATGTCGTTATGTTGCCTTACAGAAGCAATAGATGCTATTTTACTGCACTCTGCTACACCATCATCTCTCCTAGAGCATGAATGACAATGAAGATTCTTTTCAGATATCTCCACAGCAAACAATTCTCCGCAGTCAATGCAACAAAGCAAATTCTCCAGATGTGGAATGGTACTCTTCATCATAATCTGGTAATAATCTCTTTTCTAGACTTGCATTAGTACAGTGGATAGAGCTTAATTCATAACAATAACGAAAGGAAGAAGACTGCAGCTGTTCAACATCGTTTGTCAATGTTGAGTCGAAATCTATAAATAAATTAAGAAGTGAACAGAAAGGAAACGTTAAAATGAAGTAATATAAAGTACATACTTTGACTGTCTACAATTTCTTTGAGAAAATCATCAATAAAAACCATCTTTTCCCATTGTCTTAGCAGGTTCTTCTTTCCTGCAGCATCAGAGCACCATCAACATGGGAATGTAAATACACAGGTTTTCAAATGTACACTATGTTCATGCCGTCATGGTTAAGTTGAAGTCTGTTTGGAAATGTTATTTTTTCTTGAACATATCTATCACAGTTTCTTTTACTTATCTTCCAGATATATTTGATATGAAAATTTCCAGTCCCCAAAGATTTCTTATGACTGACTGTGGCATGTCAGGAATGCCCAAGGGAATGGTGGTGCACAATGATCAAAAAACAGCAGCTGTTTTCCAGTTTTTGGCTGCCAATCCTTCCAAACATGTCTGAACTCTAACTGACCTGAGGCTCACTGTTNCTGCCATTATGACTGTACATACACAGGTCATTTCAGAAATAATGCACACAATTTTTTGTTTACGTCCATGTTTATTTTTGTTTAATATCTCTTTACAGTCCTTCAATATAGTCCCCCTGCTTCTCAATGACCGAGTCCCAACGTGTGGGAAGCTTTAATATTCCATCCAGGACACCATCTTTGTTTATCTGTCCAGTGGCTCGGGTACTGGAGCAGAAAGCTCTTCCAGAGAGTGAAAATGACGGCCTTGCATAGGTTGTTTCAACCTAAGTCAAAGTCTGGTGGACTCATGTCTGGGCTGTAGGGAGCATGAGGCAACACCTCCCAACTGTATTGGTGCAGCTTTTCTGTTATGACATTCCTGATGTGAGGGCGAGCGTTGTCATGGAGAATGAGCGGCCCAGCCTTGAGCAACTGAGGTCGGTTTTTGTGGATTTTTCTCCGCAGATTTTGCATAAAGTCATGATACTAAACTGCTGTGATACTTTTCCCGCACGGAACTCTGTCTGTCATGATGATTCCTTGGCGATCATAAGCAAAGATCATCATTTGTTTGACCTTTGATTGAGATCGTTGAAATTTTTTTGGTCGTGGGGAAGATGGACAGTCCACTCATTGGACTGTGATTTCAGCTCCGGTTAACTTCACTCAAAGCACTGTGGATTTCTGTT